TCAAATTCGGCTTCTCCTGCACGACCACGGACGATGCAACATCTTGCGCGACAAACAAATATGCTTGCTTTTGTCTGGCATTTGCCCACTGTATGGCGCGAAGCTTGTTGACATGATATTTGATGTTAGCATATATACCAGCACCGGCCGGATCCGTCATGAGATATATTCTGGAAACACAAAAACCACCAACCAGCCAAGAGATTGGTCAACAAAAATGCTCCAGTTCCAACACAACCTAACAACAACACACAATTCCTGAGGATACCCCTGGAAATGATTGCCCCTGGAGAGTCTGCATGTATATGTCTGTCTGTCTGTATGTATGTATCAATATAAACATATATTTACATTTATGCACATAAACAGTGGCTAATTCTAACATCTAAATACCACTAAAATCAGAGCATTGAGTTCTTGATCCATTAACACAAAAAATTGCGGATCTGATTTGAGAGCTGTGAGATCATTCGCAGCAAATGAAATTCCCAAGTTGACATAGCTGGGGTTCCTTCACCAAAGCACCACTTACCGTCTGATTAGTTCACGTGGCTATGGGAGATCATCATTGTTAATAGGAAAACCTAGGTACCCCATCTATAAATGGGCCATTTTCCATGGCTATGCTAAATAACCAGAGGGTAATCCGGTTCTAGAATATTTAATGGGTACATCCTCATTGTTAATAGGAACATAGCCCAGTCAAACTAGCTGCTTTACCCATTAAAAAGGGTGGGTTTTTCATGGTTTTCTGCCTGCTTGGTGGTTGCTGCTAACCCCTCGGAAAAATGATGGACTTCGCCAGTTGGGATGATGACACGACCCCAATATTTTAAAAAAAAACATGTTCCAGTCACCACCCACCAGTGAATCTATTTCTATGAACCATGACTTCCACAGCTCTTCAGTAAGAGGGTCATGGGATTCACCTCATGGATTGTGATGGTCTCCAAGACATATTGCTTAGTCTGGTTAGTATCCCCGAACGAATCATCAACCAACCATCATTTATCAGTTTTATATAGTTTTATCCACTTAATATCTCTACATGGTTGCCATATGTTGTATTGATATTTGTATTGATATATTTTGATAAATTTTGTCCGAGGGTTCCACCTGCACTAAACCCAACAAGATGGAGTGTGCAGTTTATAGGTCTCCATTGCGTATCTATTGGATGTTACCACTGCTAAATGTTCGGTGAGAATCAAAAGAAACAGAAAGCTATCGCCATTACCGAAAAAAAGCGGTTCTACCCGGGGTCACGCATTTTTGTGGGAAACCATACCTTCAGGTTGTGCCATCTATAGGTTACGCTTGCAATCCATGTGCACAGGGAAAGAGAAAGGAGGAGGGAAAGGAGAAAGGAGAAAGGAGAAAAGAAAAGGAGGAAGGGAAAGGAGAAGGGAGAAAAGGAAAGGACGAAGGGGAAGGAGAAACGGAAAGGAGAAACGGAAAAGAGAAAGGGAAAAGGACAGAGAGGCAAAGAAGAAGGGGAAGGAGAAAAGAGAAAGGAGAAGGGAAAGGGAAAAAAGACAGGAGAAAAGGAAAGGGAAAGGAGAAGAGGACAAAGGCGAAGAGGAGAAGAGAAGAAGAGGAGAAGAGAAGAAGGGGAAAGTGAAGAAAGAGGAGAAGAGGGAAAGGAAAAAGAAAGCGAATGCAAAAGGAGAAGGAAAGGAGAAAGGAGAAAGGGAAAGGAGAAAGGGGAAAGGAGGAGGGAAAGGAGAAAGGAGAACGGACAAAAAGGAAATGGGAAAGGACAAAGTGAAAGGGGAAAGAGAAAGAACAAAGGGAATGAGAGAAGTAAAAGTGAAAAGGAAAGGAAAAAAAAGGGGAAAGGAATGAGAATGAGAAAGGGCAAGGAGAAAGGGGAAATGGGGGAAGAAGAAAGGGAAGGGGAATGGGAAAGGAGAATGCGAGGAGAGGGCAAGGACAAAGGGAAAGGAGAAAGCCAGGAACAGTGAAAAGAGGAGGGAACGATATCAGGGGTTTCCGTGTCTGTTTATTGAATGTTGTTTTCATGCATACTTTTGGTGCGCCTTTTCCTTGCGAAGACTACGTCTTACGCAAGGGAGGCAAGACACACCATCCCCAAAATATGAAAACAACATTCCATGAACAGCCGCGGAAATCCCTGATATCAATTATTTATATATATATATATATATCATGTCCTCGCATGTCTACCACAGCACATCTGTCCTGGGAGTTCCGGTTGAACGTCCAAAGAAGCGCATCATTGAGACAAAATGGCAGTTGGCCCGTTGGCCCCCAACCAGGGCGAGGAGTGAGCCAGAGGAAGACATCAAGCTCCACTACTGGAGTGAATCTGGGGTCGGCGGCAGGGGGCGTAAGCCCTTTAATTCGGCTCCGCCGGCTCCACACGAGTGGCTTGCCCCACGAGCGTCCCAGAGCGACTAGAGCTCTATGGTGAGGCGCGCCCCAAACCGCCGACCCTCCGACGCCGGGCCCCGAAAAACACCAAAAATCCTTCAGGAGGGTGGGGGAGAGCTTTTTGGCCGGAATCCGGGTCGCTCATAAGCGTCTCCAAGAGCATAATCCCCCCCCCCCGATTTTGAGGGTACCTAAAATCGGAAAAGAGTGCCGTTTTGACACATTTTTCGGACGATTTTCAGCTTTTCGAAATGGACAAAATGCTGTAAATTACAGCATTTTTGCGTTTTAACGTCTTTTGCGGGAGCAATTCAAAAACGCAGAAAATGCTGTAAATACCATTACTTTTTGGACCCGAGATGCACAAAACGCTGAAAATACCAGTGTTTTTGCAAGCAAAGCAAAAAAACACTGTAAATTACAGCATTTTTGGCGGGTTGATCGCAAAAAATGCTGGTATTTACATGGTTTTTGCAATTTCAAGAAAACGTGGAAGGCACGAAACACTGTAAATAGCGGTGTTTTGGCTACTTTTGGACACCGAAACGCTAGTATTTACGCAGTTTTTTGCCTGTGGCGGCGCCAAACCCCTGTAAATTACAGCATTTTCTTCCCTTTTTGAACCGATTTTTTGCGTTGATGAACGCAAAAAACGCTGGTATTTACGCGTTTTTCAAAAAATCGAAGATCGTGACGTGAACGAAACCCTGTAAATAACAGTGTTTTAGCCACTTTCGGGGACTAAAACTGTGGTATTTACGCGGGTTCTTGCCATCTGACAGCGCAAAATGCTGTAAATTACAACACTTTGTGCGCTGTTTATGTTCAATTATTTAAACTGCGATGCTTTCACCTTCACCTGTTCTTTGCCTTCTTCCACAAGAAACAATGTTGCAGATTGAAACTGGAAACAATGTTGCAGATTGAAACTGGACGACAGCGTGACCCGAAAGAAAGCTGGATGGAGGAGTCGCACAGAAGCTTTTACACATACAGGGGCTTTTACACAGTGAAGTCTTTACACAAAGGAGCTTTTTACACACAGAAGGTTTTACACAGAGAAGTCTTTACTCTAAGGAGCTTTTGCACACAAACGTCTAGGAGCCTTTACACACAGAAGCTGTTACACAAAGAAGTCTTTACACAGGGGGCTTTTTACACACAGACGCGTTTGCACACAGAAGCTTTTACACAGAGAAGCCTTTACACAGAGGAGCTTTTAGACACAAAAGCATTTACACACAGCAAGCCTTTACACACACAGGGGCTTTTACACAGAGAAGTCCTTACACAAAGGAGCTTTTTTCACACAGAAGGTTTTACACAGAGAAGTCTTTACTCTAAGGAGCTTTTGCACACAAACGTCTAGGAGCTTTTTCACACAGAACTTTTTACACGAAGAAGGCCTGACAGAGAGAGTTTTTACACACAGACGCGTTTGCACATAGAAGCTTTTACAAAGAGAAGTCCTTACACAAAGGTGCTTTTTACACACAGAAAGTTTTACACAGAGAAGTCTTTACTCTAAGGAGCTTTGGCACACAATTGCACACAAACGTCTAGGAGCCTTTACACACAGAAGCTGTTACACAACGAAGTCTTTACACAGAGGGCTTTTTACACACAGACGCGTTTGCACACAGAAGCTTTTACACAGAGAAGCCTTCACACAGAGGAGCTTTTACACACAAAATCATTTACACACAGCAAGCTTTTACACAGAGAAGTCCTTACACAAAGGAGCTTTTTACACACAGAAGGTTTTACACGGCGAAGTCTTTACTCCAAGGAGCTTTTGCACACAAACGTCTAGGAGCTTTTTCACACAGAACTTTTTACACGAAGAAGGCCTGACTGACAGAGAGAGTTTTTACACACAGACGCGTTTGCACACAGAAGCTTTTACACAGAGAAGCCTTTACACAGAGGAGCTTTTACACACAAAAGCATTTACACATACAGGGGCTTTTACACAGAGAAGTCTTTACACAAAGGAGCTTTTTACACACAGAAGGTTTTACACAGAGAAGTCTTTACTCTAAGGAGCTTTTGCACGCAAACGTCTAGGAGCCTTTACACACAGAAGCTGTTTCACAAAGAAGTCTTTACACAGATATATAGCTTTCACACACAGACGCGTTTACACACAGAAGCTTTTACACGGAGAAGCCTTTACACTTTACACAGAGAGTTTTTACACACGGAAGCTTTTACACACAGTGAAATCTTTACACAGACGTTTCACACAGAGAAGCTTTCACACACAGAAGCTTTTACACAAAGAAGTCTTTACACAGCTTTCGGGAACTCACTTGCTCCCCAAAAAAGCCGTCTATTTCCAACAAAGCTCCTATTCCATGAACTTTTTTCAAAAAACATAAGGAATATATTTCTGAAGCAGGTCCCCATCCAAAAGCTTTCAAGCCCACACTGCGATGAAATGGAGGGTCGAGAAATCCGGCGGAGCCGACGAGGGGCGTCAGCCCTTAAAATATTATCTAACTATACGTATGTTAAACATATACTACAAATGAAACATATATTATATATTATCCAACCCATCAACAAGTCTCTTTGTTGGTGGCTCATGTCGTTCGGTCTTCGGCCTGCTCCGGCTTGGAGGAGTCCTAGCTTTCGGACTTCGACTTCGCCGCCGCTTTCGAGCCTAAAATGAGTCACCCTTTGACATTGCAGTGAGCTGCATATTACTTTCAGTTTCATATAGTTCAATATCTAATCATGCTTCATAGTTTAATTATGTTCAATCCATTTTGTATCATCTTGCCATTGCAATCCAAAGAGATTGATTTGAATGGAATTAAGCTTTCCGCAGGGCTGCTTCGGCCTGTCAACACCATGACCGTTTGCCATTCGCGATCATATCTTTTCATACAGTATATATATCTTTTTATATGTTATTGCTGCTTTTCAGCCTTTTCTCGGAGATGATGCTTTTTCATGCTTTTTCACGTCCACCATTCACCATTTGATGCTGCAAATGCTGTGGTTTCCCAACCTCGACCTCTCTTTGGACTGCGACTGTAACTTGGACTGCCGCTGGGACTCCTGCAACTGTCACTCTGAGACGGCAGCAGTTGACAGTTTGAACATCCTCACCCAACTACAACTACAAGGCCAACATCTCTAGCCCCAGGAGCAATTACAAACAATCTCACTGGCGCACTGACAACACTGACGGCACTATTGCAACGAGTCCGTGTCAATCGAATTGACTCCAATCGTTTGTTCCGCGGCCAATGTGAACACAGTTGCTCGTCCTGTCAGCTGGCCGAAACCTTGTCAGGTCGAGAAAATGAGGCTCAACTCAATGGTGGCTTCAAGAACTCTGATATTCTACTGGGTCTTTCCTTCGGCAACTTTTCTGTTTTCCACTCTTTCAGAGGCGTTGCCCCAAAATTCCAGTACAGCTTTGGCTGCTAGCAGTCTGAGGTTTCCCCACTTCGCAGCCAGCAGTTTCTCATGACTAGCAGTCTGAGGTATCAATTCCTTGGTGCAAGTCTATCAACTTTCGGAATGACCTATATGCGATCGCCAGCCATTGATGTAGACACAACACGTGGCCCGTTCAGCATGTTTGGACTCTGCGCTTCTTCCCAGTTGGCTTATAGTGTTAAAATGACCCTTGCATCAAACTGTCAACCAGCCTCCAAATACATCCAAAAGATTCCAAAAGAACATATTAACAAACTTAGCAAACCCTTTGAATCCTGTCCTGCTTTCAATAAGCTTCATTCTGCCACTTTTTGGGACTCCATTTGCGACGTCTGAGCCTTCTGCCGGGACCCCTCGACGCACAGGCGGAGCTGCAGTACGCATTCCAGGGGAGGTTTTTGCAAACCTGCGAAGGTTGCTGGATGTCGTCTCCGGTGAAATTATGACATGCAAACAAGCTGCTCAGAGCAAGGCTTCTGTGGATTTGTTGGGAGGTTTTGGAGGAGGTTTTGGACGGTTGCGGCACGTCTCACATGTTTTAGATGCAACTGAATCCAGCCTGATCATCACACATTTCCCCTGCACGTTGCGACCATTGAGCCCCTGTTGCGCGCGCTGAACGTTCTACGTTCTGGACACAACATCCAAAACGAACGATTCTGATTCCATTTTTTCTTTCATACCCGCGGCTGCCCCATTGGGAGCGCAAAATTCTAGGAAGATTCAAGAGTACACAGGGACCATAGTGTCCAGGTCGAAATAAAGATTGTTAAGACAAAATTCAGTTGTATATGTCATACACCCACTATAGGCTCTATAGTGACTAGCTTCTGTATGAACAAGGTGATTTCTTGATACCAACATGTTGTGAAAAGTTTGGGACACTGCACAGCTGCCGCGACCTCCACCTACGGCCACTGCGCTGCTCATCTCAGCATGGCCTGCATTGCCTTTCGGGCATCGTCCCGACGGGCAAACTCCACGATGGCGATGCGCGTGTCAGGCGCCTGAAATCCGTCAGTCTCAGGATGTTTCAGGATGTTTCAGGATGTCTCAGGGCTAGGGGGTCTCAACTCCTGCGTCAGTGTGAGGTTTTCAGAGTCAAGCCTTCATAGGCAATGGCCTAGTTTCCGGCCCACACTCTTTTGCATTGAAACTGACAAGCCAAGTGAGATCTAGGAAAGGTCCAGGCCCCTTTCATATTCTTGTTCTGAGTGATGTTCACATTCCGGACCTTGCGGAACACATTGGTCTGTGATGGTCTGTGCAATTTGATGGAATGAAGCCTTGCTAACTTATCTAATTTCTATCTTGAATCCCTGGGATGGCGGACTCTTCCGTAGTGTTCAAACTGCGCTTGGAGAGCCTCACTCGTCACGCCATCCTGCAGAGTCCAGGAATCCCACGAGAGTCGTCGACGACAATGCGACAGATGCGACGACAACAACAACAACAACAACAACAACAACAACAACAACAACAACAACAACAACAACAACTTTGCCAAACCCAACCACCGAGAATCACGGGCCTTGATTCCCTGGACACACAACGTTGCGTAGGGAAAAGCCATCTTCTCATGTTACATGGCGCATCTGCGCCCGAACGTCCACTGTCCTCTTTGTTGTCTGTCAATGTCAATGCTGCGAGTCACAAAAATTGATACCCACATCTAAAGTTGACCAATTAGATCCAACTAGTATTAGTACACGTACAGGCAGATTGCCAGTAGAACCTGCCACCTGCTCCTTGAGCCCATACCACAAGAGGTATGTCTTTGATGCAAGGTTTCAAGGTTGCAGCCGTTGCAGCTAAAACATGCGGACACCAACAACCACAGCGTCACCAAGGATCCACAAGGCCAACGCTGTGGACCGCTACAAGTATGACCCCTTGCCTCCAGCTTCAGAGGACATAGCGCAAAGTGCACGTGGATGTCTCTGCCTAGCGAAGCAAACGATTCCTGAACCTGCAAACTGTCGAAACATGTTGAAACTTGATTTTGATCTCGTGGCATATTATGGCAATGTCTAGTGGAGACCAGTGCAAGTCTCCTGCCTTGCCAGCAGATATCCTTGACTCAAAGAACTTGTGGTTTGAATTGATGTGAATTGTTATCTTCACTCGCCAGTCACCAGCATTCTGCCTTGTCCTTTCGCCTTCTATAGCTGAGACAATGGCTTGGAGAAGAGAAAGATTGGCCCAGTGGCCTTCCAGGACTGATGCAAGGCATCACTAGAGATATAAACTGAAAGAAAATGCCAAAAAAGGGTGGAGTTGAATAATATAGCTTCAGTCTGCACTTCTACCTGATTGTACGTCTCCTCTAGATTCTGGATATCAAGTAAGAGCTATCAAGTAAGAGCCCGACAGAACCCGAGGTAGGAGAAGTGGCCTGAGCGGAGCAAAGCACGGCCCTGTGACTTGCTCAAGAGCATGGACATGATGTTCAAATCTACCAGGTCCCAGACACACTCAGGCTGGCAGTTGCCTGCGTATTTTTGACATGCGAAAGTAGGGAAGGATCAGGCTTGGTGTTGGAGACATCAGACACATGATCAAAAACACTAGAGGCTAGAGAGAAATACTGAAATACTTGCCAATAACATGAATGTGCATGCACACACAAGAAAGCATGCAATACAGCATTCAAGCAAGAGCTGGGCGGACGCAAAGAGCCAATGCTCGGACTTCTCGGAGCCTGCCTAAAACGCCAGAAACGCGAAGAAACCACCGATGTTTCAAAAAATGATTAAAACATGACAAGTATTGACAAACATTCGCTGTGAGGTACCCACAGCCATGGCAACAGAACCATGTCTTTAAAGATGCAATATGATGAGCCTCGGAAACTGTGACGCCGCTGCGTAGGCCTTTAGGCATTTTTTCACAGCTTAGCAAATAGAGTACCCAGTATGATGAGGGTCCTCAAGTTGTGTCAACTTCAAACAATGGTGCAAACACATTTGTGAAAATATTCAATGAAAAAGATGTCATATCAACAGAACGCGCGCGCGCGTGCGCGCGCACACACACACACTGCTTCCCCCATTCTCACTTCCCCGCTTTCGAACGCGGCCCACGGATGCCCACGACATGCAATTATGGACACGACAAAAAAACTGCATCAACTCCCAAACCCCAACAGAAAAGGGAAACCTTTCGCATCACATTTGGGAATCACAAGTAATTACACTACTTGATTCGTAGATCCTTTACATCGTGTTACATCGCCAATCCGTCCAAGGCTTATGGCTGATTCTCTCCTTTCAAGTATCGACCGCTCCTGATGCTCCTGTACATTTGTTCATGCCAGGCCTGGAGAACCACATCACGCCGAAAGCGATGCTTGGGCCAGGACAGAAGACAACAATTTCTGAGTGGATATTGAGGATACGGATGGTTTGTAACACCTTCCACCTAATACATCCTAATACATCTAATACTCACCTCCAGAAATGGTTTTCTGGGACCTTTCTGTGCATTCAACTGTTTGCGGCACCAATGGAGTCTTGAAGTCGGGTCCCAGAGCCAAATCGATTCGTCATGTCGTAGTACATTCTAATAAGAAAGGAGAGGACTCCACTGATGCCGCTGCAAGAATTGTACGCAAGTTGAAACTTCTGAGTCTTTGAATCTGCTGACCTCATCTGGATCTTTCGTTTTCTCTGTGCGGGCATTGGCTGACACTGCTTCACACACATCCCATCCCTGTTTTAAATCTTGGGATTTTTAGGATGCGAAGCAAATCACACATTTGAAGTGGAGCTGATTGATCAGAGAGCTTCATTGGTTTCAGGCTGTCAGCTCTGGCGGGCTCAGAGATCGAGGCCTCCCCCAGCTGCTGGTCATCCCATGATGGGAATCTTCTGGAATCTTCAGAATTTTTGTATAGCAAAACCCCCCAAAAATATCCAAAAATTGGGGGATGACCATCCCCAAAATGACGGGAAGATAAACATAGATAAACATAGATAAACCATATCCTGACCATGGATGACCATGGCACTTTTTTTGCACATATCACTTGCTGAACTTGAAGTTCGCTCACAGGTGATTCGTCGACCAGTCATGTCCAGTCCAGTCTACGTACCGGCCTCCTCCCTTGAAGTTCAGATATTTGGGCTCGCAAGTGATGGGCCACAGCTGGACATGTAGCTTCCTGAACTTGTGCCTGGCAAAGCAAGATTTCCCAGGCAGAACTGGAAACCGATCTTTCAGGGCAGGAAGGCATGTCCTGTTTGGGTCTGGGGGGTAAAATGCTTGTGGATGGGGTCACAAGGACCAAGACCACTGCTGGTTGTGAAACACCACGTGTCCCAGGCTTTTGGCTAAATCCTCATTCCTTATCATTCCCTGTCCACACCGTCCACACCTATTTCCTATCCTATTGAGAACAAGTCCCAATGGCAGCTCAAGATGCACGCAGCGATTTTGCGGGGACCGCGAGGCTCACCTGGCCTGTCATCTGTGCCTAAAAAGGCTGAGAAGTAAATAAAGGTGAATGGCTATGCACTCATGAATGGAAACGCTTTGGTCAACACAGCTGTCCGTTTCACAGCTCCAAAGAAATTGTTTTTGACCAAAGCCTATCGCCGGTTATATCCATGTTGCTCTCTGTCATTCAAACGACAACCCAAAGTAACAGCTTCAGCAGTGATTCCAAACAATCCGGTTTGCAACATGGACACCAGTTGATCTACTCTACCGCGTTTCTTCGTCAAACAGTCGGCTGGCATGTGCATATGGTCTATCCATCGAATTTTTCCGTGAAGCTCTGCTAATTCTTCTCTCAGCATTTGCACGTCAAGTGCCGTGCGTCGGTCACTTCCACCATTCGTCTCGTTGGCCAAAACGTCAAACAGAGATTTCGCATCCACCACTGCTACCGCTCCGGCCATCTCATCTCCATCTTCATTTTTGGTGAAGGCTGTATAGCCCAGCTTGTTGACATGCCTCCGCCAATTGCGAAGATCAAAGCTCGGATCGACCACCTCTGCATACATGACGATCATCCAAAGTAGATCACCAATGCCCCTTGCCAAAGATTGAGTTTCGGCTGCCAAAGTGCTGTTTACCGTCCTGGGCAACTTGCCGCTCTTCCAATGGAGCAGATTGCATTTTGCCAACTTGCCACTCAGCATGTCCTGGTCAAAGGCCAAAAGAAGATGACCTCCCTGAGTTTTTCCTCCACGAGCGTTGGCATACGAGGCATCTGTGACAACGCCCCATCGAAGGCGAGCTTCATCAATTTCTTGGATCTGCAGGGACATCTCTGAGGTCTCCTTAATGCGAAGGATCACTCGGTTCAATTCAGCTACATCCTCCACGGTCATCTCCAACATGGTAGAGGAGAACATAGATGCTGCAGCAGCTGCATCTGGACGGCCTTCACGCCCTGCCCAGTTCAATGAACCACACGCCTTTCTCACTAAGCTAACTTCATCATCAGTCAGCTTCTCTCTTTTACATTTTTGACGTTCTTTTCCAAGCTCCACTGTCTCCAATCGCTCTTCCACAAAGGCCTTCATGTCGACAAAGATTGTGTCGCCAACTTGTCTCAGGCGGCGACCATTGAAGTTCACTCCTCGCTCATCAAGTGGTTCAATCTTCCCAAAGGTGAACTTTTGCTGAAGCTCTTTCATCTTTTCTTCATGGACACTGTCGCCAAACATCAAAAGATCATCGATCTCCACAGCCACCATACCATGCAAAACATGTTCTTCTGCGTCTACGCCATGACATACTTTAGAGCCTCCTTTGGGACCATGAAGTAGGAAAGTGCAAGGATCAAGCGCTGATTGCTTGTAGCCAAGAGTCTGGGTCAAGAAAGACACCAAAGTTTTGCGCCAGTGCATCGGCGCATCACACAATCCGTAGCATCCCAAAACAATCTCAGCCAACTGACCTTCTTGAAGACCCGGCATCGAGCCATTGCACGACTTGCAGTAAAGCTTTCCTCCAGCTCGAAAAAGTGGAAGGCTTTGAGTGAAAGCTGACTTGAGATCTCCCACTACACCGCGGAAGCCCTTGTTCACCGCCGCTTGAAAAAGAATCTGCAAGTTGGATGTAGTCACCGTGGGTGCAAAACGTGACAGGTAAATGGCATCTGGATCTTTATCTCCTCTGATGCAAAACCTTGACTTTCTCGTTCTGGGCAACCCTGGAGCATCTCCTGGTTTGTATCTTCTGACCATCCTACTTGGCAAAATTCTGTCAAGCTTCCCGGTTTCTTTCAACTCCTGACGTACCTTCTCTGACTCCTCCAAACTGAGCACCTTGAGAGCGCCGCTTTTGACGATCTTGTTGAACTCCTCAAGGTCTTGTTCTTTCCATGCTGGCCACTCTTCTTCCGGGATTTCATGTGCAAACACCTCTCCTTCGCCTCTCTTTTTGCCTGCTGCCTTTGGACCTTGATTCAGGTAGTGGGCATCTACCTCAAACTCTGTAATGCCTTTCCACCACTCAAAACGCTCCTCTCGCTTCGAAAACAACGAACAAACATCTTTGACCTCCTCTACGCCCTTTGCAGTCATACGTTTGGTGATCCTCTGTTGTTTCAAAGCCCTCAAAGGAACTGGTCTTTCTTCAACCTGTGAGGGATTGAAGAGGGCTTTTCTCCACTGCACATGATGCCTTTGAAGAACATGGCGATGCTCATCATACACCCAGTAATCCTGTGTTGGATCTGGGCCTGCTGGTTCAACCTTCTCATCCTCTGTCATCAAAAAGACTTCTGAAAAATATGGCCTATCATGTCTCCGCTCCCAACGTCGGGCCACACTTCCTCTCGCTGCACCATAGTTCTCAGGAAGCCCATCTAGGACGTTGTTTTGCATGACTGATTGTGTCATGGCCTCTTGTGCCACAGCTTGAGCAGTCTCATCCAACTGATCCAGCTCTTGTTGTACGTCCTGAGCATTGGGAAAGGTGAGAGAATCAGGTTGAGCTCCTGCAGGTCTAGGTGTGTTGACTGCGGACACCTGTTCGCAGTCTGGTTCTGGCACTGTGGCATCTGACATTCTGCGGCTCCTCAACTGAAGCTCCTCATCCGGAGTTTCTGGCAAAGGTGTGCCAGGCTCATATTCTTCTTCCTCAAAACGCACTCTGGGTCTGCCTCGCTCAATGCCTTCTTTTTCAACGTCATCTACCTCTGGTTCTTCTTCCTCTGGAAGATCACCTGTGACGTCTCGATAGCCTGAGCGATGAGCACTTCTCTTCAGACGCTCCTGCATCTCACTGAAGTCCTCTGCCACCATCTCAACTCCCATGCGCTCGCTCGTAGTGGCTTCTCTGGTCTGCTCCACTGACGCTCTCCACAGCTCACCGAACATATTGACCCAAACCACTGAACCTTCCATGGCTAGTACATGGCCTGGACCGACCCATGTTGCTTTTCTGCCTCCACCTGCTCCTCTTGAAGCCTTTGCCTCTCCATGGACCAACTTCTTTTTGCGCAAGGCCCTGAAAACATAAACCACTTCACCTGCTTTGAACATACGCTGCAACCTCGGCCTCGCCCTCAAAGACTTGGCTGCCGCCTCCTGACTTGCCATCTTCACGAAAGCTTCTTGGGCTATCTTTCGAAGGGCTAAAAGCCTGTCGAAGTCATCTGTGGTATTCTGGCTCTGAAGTGCAGGGTCTAGAGCTTCATCACTCATCAGCGATCCAGGCAAACGAGGCCATTGGCCCACCTGCCGCTGCACCGGACTGTACCCAGACCGGTTCATAAATCTGTTTTTGGCACACTCGCACTCTGGCAGCAAAAGACGTAGTTCTTCACGAGACTCAAGAGCAGCCGACTCTCGAGCTTTCGCGATCATATCCTTCATCAAACCTCCATGTCTTTCCACTTTACCTTGTTGCCATGGAGCTCTTCCTGCTGCTCGGAAAACCACTGTGCCAAACCCGGCGCACCACTGGGTGAAGTCTCCTCTGAACTCCAAACCCTCGTCCACAGAGATATACTGCGGCATACCAAAAGTTCTGCACCACGCTCTCCAAAAGGCCCTCCACAATGAGCTTGGCTCTTTGTTGTCCAACAGCTCTATCATTTGGTAGTTGGTGCCCAGATCAAGGATGTTGAGAATGGGGTATGACCTCTTGTTGATCAAGTCTGGTATGTAAAACAAGTCCAACCCCACCGCAACTCCAGGCTTGTAGCACTTAGGCACCACAGCTGGCCTCGGTGCTTTGGGAAGTGCTCTTCCAATGCATTTCTCGCAACGAAACTCTCTGATGACCCAACGCACCACCTCCTCACGAATCCTGCCCGCTCGCAGAAATCTGATAAAGCTGTCTCTTGCAGGATGGCCCAGGTTCACGTGCATTTTCATGACTTTTGCTTTGTCCTCACTGGAGACTTCTACAGCCGCTCTTGGCTTCTCCTTCTGGCTTTCTCTAGGTTCTTGAATCTCCTCTGGGAAGACGTCCTCAAGGGCGTCAGCATCTTGGGGTGGAAGCACCTCTGTCGCCAAAACTGCTAGTGCCTCACATGGAACTCCTCGACAAGGGCCCCTTTGGTGACGGAGATGTCGTTTCAGACCACGTACAATGGCCTTACACAGCCCTGGTGGGTAGATCGCCGCAGCAGCGGCTTTGCCTCCAAGCAGGTGATCATGCTCGTGATCTCCTGAACATCTGCGTTTCAGCTCTTGTGCAATGTGAGGACTATTTGTGATGAAGCAAGTTGGCTTTTTGTTCAACTTCTCACCTACTCGAAGCCCATATGCACACTGATCCACCACGCAGACATGAACTTCTGGTAAGCCCATCAACTCCAGCATGCATTCTTCCTCCCATGCTTTGGAACGAAGTGGGTGTTCCAAAACAAAGATTTTGCCTCTCTTGTACTGCCATTTGGCCGCCGCACATGTTGTGACCACATGCTCCAAACCTTCTCCAACAAGCGTCACTGCCTTCTCAAAGTCCATCTTCGGAAAGTTCAGCTCCTGAAGCGGCGAAAAAGGTGTACAAGGAGGACTCCCCAGCAAGAGTTCTGGGTCATCAGCATGAAGCTCATTCCACATGCGTTGCAAGTCTTTGGTCATTCTGAGGTTGTAGCCGGTTTTGAGGTCGTAAGCGCCTCCAGCTTTCAAGTGCTGCCGCTTGGCCTCCGTCGTGACACGGGGAGGGCTGTATATCTCACTCACGTCCACAGAGAAACATGCTGAAGCCACATCCTTCAAAGCCTTTCTCAACTTGGTCTTGAGACTTTTTGCCATGGAGACCTCTCTCTCCTCCGGACATGTATCCTCCATGACTGCCCTGGCAGTCTGCTGAAAAAGAACATAACATTCCGGCTCATACTCAAGGTCATTGTCATTCTCAATCTCATAGAAGTTCGCGCCATCCTTGACGCACACACGACTCACAGCAAAATGCGGAGTCTGTCTCAAAGACGCCCCCTTTCTGCCATCGACGCACCTTCTAACTTCATCCATGTGCCCTGGGCTTCTCCAGGGAATGCATTCTCTTCCACCTCATCTTCAGAGATCAACTGGTCTGGCTGGTTCTTGGATTCTTGGCCCTGTCTTGACCCCTCATTGGAGAGTCCCGACACTCCTCCAACACTTGATCCAGCGCCTGCACCTCTGTCACATTCTCCCAGCGCCTCAGAGCGTAGGCATGCATCTCGCTGTCGTGATAGCCCTTGTTCTCCATGTATCGAGCACCCATCGCCATGGCCCCATACTCGCTCATCATGATCTCGGTGATGTGGTGATTCTTCACCGCATTCGTCAGTTCCATCCGCAACTGACGCACTTCTGTCTGGTTCATGGCGGCCACATGCTGCAAAGACTCGATCTGCTCGTTGTACATGGTTTGAGCACGCTCTTGGGCTTGGATCTCTGCCTCCTGCTTGAAGATCTCGGCGGAACTCGCCGGCGTCGAAGGCGCGATCAGCGCCTTGGCTGCACTTCCTGCCATCTCCTTCTTTGTCTTCAGCCCTGCAAATTCTTTGGAAATCTTCCAACGGGCATTGCGATCCCAACACAGGATCCATGCCGCATGCTGGTTCTGCGAAGTTGAAAGCCTCTCCGCAGGGTGGGTGCACTCCGAAACCTTCTTCGGCGGCTCCACTTTGGACTTCTGAGGCGCGAGGGACTCTGCTCCGATGATTGCCGCGGCCAGCTGCTCTTGCGATGGCGGAGAAGACTGAACCCCCATCGATGCCGCTGGCAGCCATGAATTTACCGAGTCCTCGAGCCCAATCAAAGATTGAAGCATGTGCACCTTGTCCAGCATCTGTCGCCAATGCGCAAGAGCTCTCTTGGGATTGCGTTGCACAGCTCTGGACTCCTCCACCAGCTGAAAGTCCGCACTTGGACGATTGAAGGCGTGGCGGAAGAGAGCAAGGCGATCGCGCGACATGGTAGGCAACTTTCTCAGGTCGTTGAACGTGGGTCAACATGACACATCCGGATTCTGAGCCAGGACAGCGAAATTCGCTCTCTGTGTAGCCGGCTTCTCTGGCTTCTGAAGGCAAAGAAAAACCTCTTTCTCCAAAATCAAGTACATCCACTGCAACATGACCACTTGGAAGGCTATGCAACTCAACTGAACGTCCAAGACTCTTCAAGTGCATGCTGTCACAACTCAAATCTACAACTGCTTGAAGACCACGAAGGAGTTTGATAGGCAAAAGTAATGGAACATCTCCTTCGATGACTGAAACTTCTAAAACGCCACTGCAACCCGCCAAACCAAGTGGAAGTGCTGCCATGCCAACAACCTTTGCCTGACCTCCAACTCCATGTGCCTTGCAAACTTTGTCAATCCAAACTTCTTGAAGCCCACGAGCCCGCAACTGACCTTTTAACCGTTTCAGCGCTGCATCACCAACAAGTCCGTCTTGCGCCGCCGTGTCCACTATTCCCATCATTGGGTTCGTGGTCAAACCTACAAACATGCAATGCCTGTCTCCGCACTGCTCTAAGCTTGTGGCTCTATTTGAACCCTGGCACACATCAAAAACTAACTTACCAGCTCTCAAAAGATCTGGTTCTCGCTCATCCTTTGAGTCACAAACATTAGACTCAACCCCAAAATTTTCACCAAACCCTTTGGTGTTCAAAAGAGTGTGTTTTCCCCTACACTCAACTAAACAAAAATCTTTTGACGATGTCGCTCCTGAAGCAGCATCCGTGGAGACATACCAACTTTGGCCACCACTGGTAGAAGGCGGACTGCTAGAAGCCCCTTTTGAAGATGCCGCAGCTGCGCTTCAAGCTTTGCCACGGGAATCCTCCGAGTTCTTGCATTCCTTCGCCCAGTGTCCCACATTGCCACACTTCGCACAACGGGTTCGAAGTTTGAGTTGTTCTATGTGGATGCGCTTCTTGTCCTTGACAAAGTCTTGCCAAGGTGAGCCTCGCCCCTTGCCCTTGCCCTTCTGAGGGTTGTAGTATTGGCGACCTTTCTGACGACCCTGTATGGCCTTTCTCACCTCCTGGTAGGTCGCCAAAACCATCTGCACTTCAGATTCATCATAGATCCTGCTCTCATCATGTTCAGCAAGGTACACATATTGCTCTTCCAACGCCTCACCCTCATCAAGGACATAGGCCTCGTTCTCGATGTAGTCCCCTGAGAACTGCATCGAATCGCTTGCATCATCATCTTCCTGCATATATGCCACTGAAGACTTGCCCTTTGATTCCAGCACCACTTTGTCGAGCTTCCGCAAGCATGAGACCACCGTGCCCTTGTCATACTTGCCCTGAGCCCATGCACCAAAGCGCAACTCCTGATTTTCTGTCAGAGCAGCCTGCCTGAACATCACATAGCCGACAGCCTGTTCTGGCAGCTTGACCCCTTCTTTTTCTAAAAGGTGGAACGCCTGCTCTGACCTGATCAGGTATTCTTGAATGCTCTCTTTGTGGGACCTAGGGTTTCCATAGATCGCCCTCTCAAAGGCACGGGGCAACGAAACCTCTAAGTGAGGTGCAAAGTGTTTTTCCAAACATCCAAGAATGTTTTCCACTCCTTTGGTGCTGGTGATTTCTTCAAATTCCAAACTATCGGCAGCAGCCCTTGCAACCCCCGTCAAACTCCTCAAAAGCCTGACGCCTCGCTTCTTCTCTTCTACTTCTGATTCAAACTCCCAAAGTCTCACATTCTTCTTGTATACAGCGAACTGCAGCGAAGGCTCTGCGCCGTCCCAAGACGGAGGATTGGGCTCTCTGCCCTGGAAAGAGGTGGTCACCCCTGGATCCGAGCTCATGGCTCCGCTGCCACTGAGAACAAGTCCCAATGGCAGCTCAAGATGCACGCAGCGATTTTGCGGGGACCGCGAGGCTCACCTGGCCTGTCATCTGTGCCTAAAAAGGCTGAGAAGTAAATAAAGGTGAATGGCTATGCACTCATGAATGGAAACGCTTTGGTCAACACAGCTGTCCGTTTCACACCTATCTACTACACTGCACACGGTATTGCACAGTCACGTCTATGAGGATCTCTGTGTTTCTATTGCGAGTAGATGCTGATATTTTATGATATGTTCATGTATTTTCATTGTCATTGGTGCCTCCATCTCCAGAAGAACTTCGGCTTCTGAGGAGTCATTCTGAGCAGGTGAATCAGACTGAAACCGATGCAACGGATGAAACTTAGGAACAATTTTGGCAACAGCAACTCATGAAGACTGAGCAGACTGATTTCATGCTGAAAATTGGTGTGCCTCCTCCAAGAGAAACGACAGCATTTCAACTTCATGCTCAGCCTGGCAACTCTCAAGGTTGTGGTCCAGGGACTTCATAGAAACTCTATCAAAGTAATTCAGCTTGAGCAATGTCAGCCTCGAGGAGGGTTCTTTCTCTGGGCTTAAGGCCTATCAAACTCGATCTGTTTAAAGGAGAATGCCACATTCGCCTTCACTGGGTGGTTGCACAGCATCTGGGGGCCTTCTTTCATAGCAACCTCTGCCTGCAAGATTCAAGGAGGAAAGGTCTTGATGGCTAGGCTACCAAGTATGACAAGCAATCCCAGGCACATACCCCAGTCAAGAAAAAGATTTGCACATCAGTGGAATGCTTGTATAGATTCTATGTCAGTACTCATTTGTACACATGACGAAGAGAGACTCTCTCTCTCTCTTAAATGCCCCTTCTCCTCCCCCTCACTTCAGTTTGCCTCAACTCGAAGTTTGGCTGCTTTGAGCACCACATTCACAAACTGTGCCAGGCAAAGAATTTGCCACGGTGGTTTCTCTAAACAGCCAGTCACACCAGACCCAGCAAAAAGGTGCTCAGATCGTTACCATTTTCTTGTCACAGCATTCAGCGATATATCTTCCGAGCAAAGCATTTTGCTGCTCAGGAAGCAGCTGATAAGACCCAGGTCGCTTGGAGCGACTGCAAGGGGGCCACCATTTTTACCGGGTAACGAGATTCTCACACGTCATGTCCGAGGAAGCATTGGGGCTGTCCCGGCAAGTCCACGTATGTACAGAATCTCGACCCTTGAGGTACAAACTTTTGATTGTCTCCCGAATGGCACTCATAGAGTCCCCAGGTGTTCACATCCTTGGCGCCACATGGACCAAACTACTGAAACATGACCTGACCTGGGACCTGGCCATATGATGTTGCAGACCCTTTCATGAAATTCGCTCGCAATGTCTGCAGGGTCCTGAGCGAATCTGAGGCGGAGGCCTCATCTGACCAAGTGTCCAGGCAAGCCATCGAGTCAGCCTGCTTCATTTGTTCGTTTTCGTAGATGAAGAAGCCGCATTCACCCTGCAAAGCGCAGGATGGGGGACACCATTTTGAACTTGAGACCTGGTGACTTGCCGGTGACATGCCGATGATGCCGATGACCCGGAACTCGGAACCCAGCGATCCTGAGGGTCCACGAATTGCGCTTCGTTGTCGAGGCATTGTCCATCGGACCAGAAGAGCTTCCAGCACTTTCTACCTCATGCTAAGAAGCCATGGCCGGAGCAAGAGCGAACGTCCGTGTGAAGTCTGGCCACCATGCCCAGAAGCTATGCAAGAACCACATGAAAATACAGAATACAGCAAAAACATGCCAAAACAACAGCTTGCACAGAAAGTGCCAGTAAGATGGGTGAAATTGGCCCAGTGTGCCTTCAAACAACATCAAACAATGATAACCCATCAGACGACAACAGACATCTGGCAGTCTTCCGGTCTGCCGCGCCTCTCTCTTTACATCTGGCTGGCAGATTGACCTGCGGCGACGCCATCTCGGCATTCAGCCGGGCAAAGACCTGGTGCTTCACAGTCAGGCATCAAATCATCTGAACAGAGCTAATTCTTTACTAAACATATCTAAACATCATCTAAACATCTGAATAGAGGGATGCCATCAGCATCATAGAATCATCCTTAGAATCTTCCATGTAAATAATTTCACCATAGATTCACCTTACATGCACCTTGCCTCCGGATGCTCTCTTTGGGCTTTCCGGTAGAGCTCGGTCTCTAGCGGGACTTTGGCACCCCATTTGGAAAACCTGGCGTTACTCAAGAGGACGTTCATGAAGGTTTACGGGGCGCCTCATATTCAGACATCCAGTGCCATTCATATAGATCCTGCATGATCCTGCCTTGCTGCACTTCCTTTGTTTCGGAAAGATATGCAGGGAGCCTTGCATGTCAAAAGTTCACAAGTTCAACATTACAGCCATGTCAGGTCTCATAATGTGGTAAACCAAATTATAGCTTATAAATTATAAACCATTCCCCAATATCACCTAGGTGGTATACACACTGTACCAGCCATCCCCAAATGGCAGGTTGTGTATTGGGTTTACCACATTCTGTCTCGTTTGATCCATTCACTTCAGGCCTCTTTCAAGCCAGGCTGTTGCACGTTGCCATTGGATCCGATGCATGAGCTGCCCCGTTGCAGTTGGCCATCCTCAGAAAGTCCATGGCGCCATAACCGTCAGGCGTTTCCTTTGCCAATGGAAGCACTGGTTCCTACAAATGTCATGTTGCACCAAGAAGCTCTGGTCAACGACCATCCTTGGGCAGTATTTGCTCCGGACAGCTCACCTCACCGCAGTGAGCGGTCGTGAAAATGGATGAAAATTGGACCATATTGATCATATTGGGGCCCCCCTGATTTGGCAACCACCGATCCTACAAGGATCTAAAGGGAGTGTACCAGTATCTTTCTTTGACAGGCTCAAACCCAGACCACCTTCGAGTCGCACTTGCAAAGGGGCAAATGACGTAATGAGCTTGGGTGCTACAAGTACAACTAGGAAAGAGCAAGACTCTGACTTTGTATTCGATAATGAGTCGTGAGGGAATGACATGCAATCCAAGTCACAAATACTGGTCACGGCACGGCCACCACTCTGGCCGCCCTGCAGATCGGAAAGGCGGGAAATGTTCTTCCACAGATACAGTGAATTGATGCCAATTAGTGCTTTTTGCCACATGTCACAGTGTCACAGGACAGCCAAAGTCCAACACCTGCAAACATTGATCGGTGTTCCAGGCTCGGAGACCGCTGCAGCATTTCCTGGAGCTTGGACGCAAAAGGGTGCACAAGCTGCTTGACCGGAAGCTCCTATCCCTTCTGACAGTCTGAGCCCCAGACTTAGATCTCCTAAGCTGCCAAGTATTGCCACACTGTCAACACTGTCACAGTATGTCACAGTGTCCCTGTCTGCAACAGGCCACAGGTTATTCTGAATTGTCACTGCAGCCAGGCAGCCGGTTGCGGTTGCCCAAGTGCCAAAAGAAACGATGGTTGTCCGAGTCGCAGGGTGCCAGCCTCACACAACTTCCAACATGCAACAGAAATTGGAGCCTGCACTCATGAACATGGACGACAAAATGACGACAATGCATCCAGGAAGCTTAACTCCCTCAGATCCAGATCCGCTTGTACCAGCTGGACCCAAGAAGTGCAAGCACATCCCACTTTGTTCCTGATGGTGCAGTCCGAGAATTCGGAACCCTTGCTTCAGCAACACTGTCCAGAGACTGAAGTCATCCCAAACACTGGCCCCCTGGCCCCATGGCCCCCTGGCCCCCTACGTACCCATCAACAATTCCTCGCGAATCATGAAGATCTCGGCAGGGATGAGACCAGCATCTTCGTACACGGCTTTGAACCGCTTGAGGTACCAGGCAAATGGCCGACAGCCATTGAGTCTCTTCCGAACATTGTGAAAGGTACTCATGTCCTTTGCTTTAGGTTCCGCAAACAAAGAGCAAACAGAAAGCACAACGAGTTGGCACGGTGTGCACTATATTCCACATAATTCTCTTTGAAGCAATTCCAAGATCATGCAGATCCACATCCATTCATGCCAAGCATCGCCAATCCAATTTTCACCACCGTTCTTTTTCCGATTTGCAAAGGAAGGATAATCGTACAGCTTGTCACTAAACTCTTGGAGCCAGGCATGGATGGCTCGTGCTCGATTGAACATCGTGTCTCCGACGCGCTTGTAATGCGCGCTGGTCTTTGCGGAGTGAGTTCTCCACATGTGTGCAACTTGCGAACGAGGTGCTGCGACAATTTCCCCGCCGCAAACCCACATTCTCACGCCCTGATCGATGTTCTCACCACCCCAACCCAACATCTTGGAATCAAAGCCTCCACTCTCGTCCCACCAGTATCTGGACATTCCTGCTAAGCCACCAGACAACATGCCCATGTACATGTCATCAGTGCCTTAGTCATGATCATTAAGGATCAAAGCATGCTGCGCTGATCACTAGCTGCAAAGCGCTTCAGTTGCTTCTTAATTCAGCTATGGCACCACCCCACTTGAAGTCCCCATCCCAGGTCAGGTAGCACTTGGACATTCCTCCTCCACTTCCAACCTGTGTCCAGGTGTCGATATCCAGCCCTGTGATTTGAGGAATCACCATTCTGCGGTAATTTTCTCCAATCAGCGTGAGGAAGTCGACGTACCACTTGGGCTGGGGACCTTAGTTGCAGCAAGGCCGATGCTCTCAAAGACAAATGGTCTGGGAGACTGTGTCAAAAATTACCATGGCCAAATTCATAGCTGTCGTGGCAAATGATCTCTTGCAAAAGGCTTCAGCATTGAAGGAAGGATGAGAAAATCATAGACTAGAAAATCCATTGAAAAAATATATAAATGGACTATATTATGTACTATATTATATAAGTTTGTAAATAATCAGTACCATCATCAGCGACTAATATTCTTAAACGAGAGCTAGCTGAGCTTACTACATTTTCCATGGGCACAGCACAGCACAGTTCATGAAACGTCGACAGGTGACCCACGTGGCAATCAAAGAAGACGATGATGTCACCAGTTGCTGCATCTCCTCCAGTCTGCTTGGCTCCAATGAGGCCGACCGTCTGCTCGTGGCGTTTGATCACAACCTTGTATTTCTGCCTCACCTCTTCGTTCAGATGCGTTGTAGAAAGTGGTGGATTGCCTCACAAATTGCTGGTCGGCTGTCGGCTGGTCCAATCTGGTGCTTCTGATTGTGAGCCCAACTTCCCACCTTTCTGATCCTTTCTGACCATCAAAATAAACACACAAATGAAAAACTCGCAGGGTATAGATGCCAATACTATGACAAGGTGCTGCCATCATCAACCACCACAATTTCATGCAACACATCCGTAGGAGTCGACTCGTAGACAGACTTCACCGTTTTGAACTCAGGTCAGGACAGTTGGCAACAGTTGGAAGCTATCTAGCAACATGGGATGCAACCTATTGATGCTACACATACATCATGGTTGTTTCATGGTGTTTCCATCCACAAAAACCATCAATCAGCTGCGTGATCAGATTGTACTTTGGGTGCTGCAAAAATGTTCAGCAAAGATTCCGCCAGTTCACGCTCTTCTGCGCATGGAAGAACCTAGACACACTCATGCACGCAAACAAAGGCAAACAAAACAAAACAATATTTAAAAAAAACGCATGCCAGACAGGCATAAAGAAAAGTCTGGGCTGTCTCTTCTAGGTCCAGTCAAGTCAAGATATCGCAAGTCACAAAATGCACCTTGAGAAAGAGGCAATTGCCGTTGCGGATCAAGCAGCCACAGAAATTGTATGTGGAGACCACGCCAAATCTTCAGGCGTAGCATCTAGAACAAAATTGCCTTCCCCAACAAAGGCAAGGGAGGCTCGAGGTATACTTGGAGGTCCCCCAGCTGGCACAGCTGGCTCAGGTGGCTTTGGTAGACTCTCCGACTGCAGAAAGGCCTCGAACTGAAGCAAGCTCCGTCAACGTCATTTTTGTTGACAATTTTTTGGACTGTCACAATTGGATTTAGAGTTGTGAGGCTCCCATGACTCACAATTGAGAACATGTCAATGCAACCAGTCCTTGGAACCACGCATCGCAGGTGGATCTTCCAAACTGCCAGCTGGCTCAAAACGCCCATGTTGGGAAGTTTGCTCCACTGGTTCTGGCTTGATGCTCTCATGCAATAACAAAGACCAAATCCTCGGCCCATTCATGTCCGGCTCTAAGAAAAATCCACAGCCCTCAAGGTCCATTTTAGGGGTAAAACATGGTAAAACAAGTGGGCCCTTTAGTCTCCAGGAGTCCCCATGTCGACTTGCCATGGAGACGTGGAGACCCATAAAAGACTGCGCAGTCTTTGTACACATGGGAATTCATTTCCGTTGTATGCAGCCCTTTTCTCACCTCGCTCAACCTTGAATTTTGGGAAAACGATTTCAGAGTCGTCAGAGTGGTTGTGGCTCATTGAGCTGCAAAATTCTGGAAGGGGGGTTGGAATGAGGAAGCATCAGGACACAGTTTGCTTCCCAGGAGTGATCAAGTGGCTGGAGAATACACAGGATGGCCCATCTCAGGAAGAAGAATCGCCATGAAGACCGCCGCTTGGGGCCGGAGGTTAGCCAATGGTATAAATCGAAGATCGAAGCAGCACTGGAAAGAACAAGACCAAGCCTAGCAGTGACGGTGAGATCCAAAAACATGATCTGATCATATCTGATCTTTAAAACATCGCGTCATTGAGCTCATGCCACTGGGGATGTCACGTGTCTGGAGCTATCCCACCAACCAGGGCAGCCACTGGGACACACCACCTGGGTCTGACATGGTAGCACTTGCTATTGCTTGTTGTGTAAAGGCCTGGAAAAACATTTGGTGTAAACCCGTCAATCCACTGTACTTCGCTCCAAACAATTTCCTCCACATCTGGGTCTCTGGCAGTAGCAACACGCGCACCAGCAGCGCGGCCATCAAACGTAATTCGGGGATGTGTGCTTTGCAAAAGCCTTTGTAAAGCGTAGAGGCGTAGAGGGATTGATTAAATCATGCTGTCAAAGTGTCACAATCGATTCCATCGCTGGCTCCCTCTGTTTCATCGGTTTAGTTCGTGTGTCCCAGGCATCTTGGATCTGGATTGTCCTTCGTAAGAGCAATTTGGTAAATTATATATGCGAAATTCATGAGGCCATGTTTGTCATGTCTTGCCGCTTATTTGAGAATTCGTGTCGTCTTGCGTTTGGGATCTGGGTTTTCAGCTTGAAAGGCTTCAAAGTGAGACGGGGCAATGTCTATGGTATGAGTCCCTTGTGTCATGACCCTGGGCCTCATGTGATCTACCATGCAATGTAAGGTCCTAATAGCTACGGAAGCTAGCAGCAAGCGGAGTGAGAGGTACATCATCTGCATCACTGATTGCCACACACAATTAGGATCGATCATTTTTTCCATGCAAAGAAGTTCCAACATGTGTTGTTCACGCTTGTTCTAATCCAGTAAAACCGGAGAACTTGTGCACACAGGAAGCCAAGGCCTTGCACTGAGTAGTTAATGCAAAAGCAACAAGAAAAGTGGGAAGGCCTCTCCGGCTGGATGGGGAGACCTCTGGCATATCTCAGACAGCTGTGTGTGGGGACTGGTCAGAGCGCTCCGAAGTTGAAACCATTCAGATTCTTCATGCCATGTCACGCAACTGGACTGCAATGAACACTTTGAGAAGCTGGCGGTGACCTCGTGTGCAGTGCGGTCAAGAATGTAAGGCCACCCCTTGAGCCTCTCGTGGCCTGCGATGTCAAACCTGAAGTTTCGAAAAACAATTCGCTTGTGTGACACATAAGCCAAACATCATGGGAGAACTCAGCAGAAAGTCATGAGGCCCGGGCCAGGTTGAGTCAAAGTTGAATTCATCCTGACACCCAAGCCCTCTTACTGTGGTTGCGTTGCTCTTTACATGGTTGTGCTTCCACTATGGCCAGAGAATGCCCATCAGCCAATTGCCAACTTGTCGCGTTTTCTTGTCCTACCTGCCAGACTCCATCGAGCGTCCACGTGCAGGCGACTCCCACATCATCCTGGAGACAGCGACGGACTCTCAGATCTTTAAGTTTGAACCTTCTTCAACCTGCCGTGGCTACCTGTTTGCTACCTGTTTGCTACCTGTTTGCTACCTGTTTTCTACCTGTCTGTCTACTGTTTTTTTCTTTTGTAGACTAGAAAAGCGAGGAATGGAAACAATGTCAACAAAAGTCCTGTGTTTTAACTCAACATCTCTCAAAAACTGTAATCTGAACTCTTGCTGAATCCTCTGACGACTCCAAAACAATAAGATGCCATAAGTAGGGCCAGAGCCCACGTTTGTGCCCTGTAAGTCATGTAGAGGTCCAGCAAAATTTCAACACAGTCCCCACACACGGAGACACCAGCCAGCAGAACCCACAAATCAAATGGCCTCGTCGGAGTCTTTATCGCCGACACATCTGGCCAGGTAAGTTGATGAGAGCCTCAAAGCATTTCCCGAGGCGTTCTAGCAAAGGTTTTCCAGGAAGAGTTTCTCCATTCAGAACTCCACCACAGCTTGTGACGACCCCTCAAACCCCTCTTGGGAGCTAGCTCTTGTCCGAATGACCTGTGCATAGGGCATGGCCGTCTGACTGATGCCAAGGCACGACATGAAACGTGGAACAAACTCCTGCAGCTCTTCCCTTTGCAAAAGCGGAGTCGGCTATAGACCGTGCCTGCAAACCGTGGCGGTATCCGGGATCCCCTCTCGACCTGCAGGATAGTTGCGCAGCACGCCACAGCATATAATTACCGCATAAAAAATGAATCCTGATTCAATTAATTACTTTACTTCGTGTGATCCCCACCATGACATTTATACATTTTCTTACTGGCAAATCTTCTGGCATTCTATCTGACATATCTTCTGACATTCTATTTGGCATTCTATCTGGCATATCTTCTGGCATATGACCTGGCATATCTTCTGGCATATCTTCTGGCATTCAATCTGGCAAATCTTCTGGCATTCTATCTGGCATTCTATCTGGCATTCTGGCATTCTATCTGGCATTCTGGCATATTATCTGGCATGGCATTCTTCTGGCATATTCTATCTGGCATTCTATTCTTTCTGGCATTCTATTTGGCATTCTATCTATCTGGCATATCTTCTCTTCTGACATTCTTTCTATTCTTTGCACATTCTTTGTCCCATATCTTCCTACATGAGGTCCGGCAGGGAACACTTGGCGTGGATACTCGCGGTTGAGGTCCGGCAGGGAACACTGGGCGTGGATGGTCGTGGTTGAGGTCCGGCAGGGAACACTTGGCGGGGATGGTCGTGGTTGAGGTCCGGCAGGGAACATTGGGCGTGGATGGTCGTGGTTGAGGTCCGGCAGGGAACACTGGGCGTGGATGGTCGTGGTTGAGGTCCGGCAGGGCACACTGACGTGGATGGTCGTGGTTGAGGTCCGGCAGGGCACACTGACATGGATCGCAGTGGAGCAGGAGGAGGACGAGGAGGACGAGGAGGAGGAGGAGGAGAAGGAGGACGAGAAGAGGGAGGAGAAGGAGGAGGACGAGGACGAGGAGGACGAGGAGGAAGCAACTGACATAAAATCTAACAACCCTCACCTGGCAGGTGGGGAAAAAATGATATACACTTCCAGCCCGGTTCTGCAACCATACATTTTCTCCCTTTCTGGCTCCTGGTCAGAAGTCAGATCATAGTTTCATGGTGACACCTTCTGCCGAAAATTGCTACGTCCTGCCTCCTTGAAGCCACTGGCTTTGTTCCAGCTGCCAGGACTGGCAGACGAAGAGAGGTGGGAAAAGTCCGTGAAAGTTGCACATCATGGAACGCTTGGATGGGGTATCTGCATCTACCCGCATAGAAAACTGGAGAGTTTTTGTAGACGATGCTGTCACACTCTCCAAGATCAAGCGGGCGGAAGGTCTTACGCTGAAACGCTGCTTAGATTCTGTTTAGGAAATAGCCTGAACATATTCAGAGCTGTGAACACAAATCACCCGGCGCAAAATCACCTGAAAGATGTCACTGACCGGATTTCAGCCTGCCATCAGCAACATGGGTCATTGAGATTGCATGCCAACTGGAGCAACTTTGAGCTGAGAAACATGGGTTTTGCTTACTGTATTCGTTGTGTGACATTTTGATAAGCCGGCTATCCATGGTTGAGCCCCTTTCAAAAGTGACAAATCAAGTGGATCAAGTGGATCAAGCGGATCGTGCAAAACTGCGAATCAAAAAGGCCTGGAGTTCGGCATCTTCACGACGGATTGGGAGTCCTCTAGACTCCTGCAATCCAGACAGGCACCGGATTCTAATCCATTCCGTATATTCTCGATTCTCTCATTTAAGGTTCTAGGTTCTAGGTTGTGTTCTAACAATGCATATACATATACTGAATCATGTGTATACGTAAAATGGTCGCAACACTAGAATCCGGTAGAATCCACAGACAAAGATTGCATCCAAGACCCGCGTCTCAAACGTCTCAACATGCCAGGCTCACAGCTCGTCTTCTCCAAACTTCACAATCGCCGTGTTTGCGCACCAAAGCCTAGCAGTCAGTCCATCAGTCTCAACATAGCTCTCAGCATAGGTCTTAGCATAGGTCTCAGCATGTGCATTTAGCCACATCCAAATCTTCCGTGGTCTTCGCATTATGTCAGACTTTTGCTGGACCTCGCGCCACTCCGCAGCTGTTTGCTGAAGAAGTACGTAGCGCTGCCTGACCTGACCAACTTTGCCGGTTTGACAAGCACATGACGACATCAAAGTGTTCAAAAGAGAGTCAGACTTTGATCACGGGAAAAATCAAACAGAAACATGAACAACGCTGCACAGAGAATCGTCAAAAGGATGATTCTCTACGCTTTTGCATCTGCTCTTGTATCCTTGTTTTTCATTTTTGTCATTGTTTTCCATTAAAGTTCCCCTGCGGCATGTTGTGTCCCTCCAGCTTCCTACATTGGCAAGTTGTCACCTTCTGTCAGAGGCGTAAACTCTCAAACCCCATCCCCAGTTTTCTTTCGACACTTTGCTTTGCCTTCCATTTTTGGCTTCACTTCTGGGTCTTATTTGAAACCTTCTGGACTTTCAGTCAAGCTTTTTATCCTTCTGACCCTTCTGGTTTTTCTATGTTTTTCTTCATGCCAAGATTTCCTGGTCTGTGGTCTTCTTGTTCCATTGAAAAAAGCGCGGCTAGGCTCGCTGGCCAAGCTTGCCATGACTGTGGCTCCGTGCGGCTTGCAACTCTGCCTCTCGCGCAGGGGCACCAGCCTGGAAGGCAAGCACTAGCACGTATAGCACGTGAAGTGACACAAAAGTACAGAGCCAAGAGATCCAGAAGTATCATGATCACCTCACCCTCACTACGTAGCTGACAAAACACTAAACAGCTCAGTTCCCATCCATTTGGGAACCCTTTTGGCCGCTCGCTACCAAAAGACTTGCTGTGCGAGCTGCACGAAAAGCTTTGTGAATGCCCGGATGGCAGAGAAACTATGTACACTAAACTAAACATTCGGAGATGCCACTAAAAGCAGCAGGAAGAAGGGACTCTGAGCTGAAGTAGTGGCCAACCACGCAACTCTGCTAGTGCCTGTGTTTTCTGGGTTCCCTCACCCTTCTTGATCTGAAGACTCTTGGTTGTCATCGCGTCTTGCCAACAGGATAACATGTCGTCCATCGCTGCCCTGAAATGTGCCTTGAAAAGGAAAGCCAAGCGCACGCAGCATGGCCAACATACGCTGACGCCTCACATGAGGCCGATCTTCCTCATCTTCCTCTGAGTCCGAAAAATCTGTCGTACTTTGGCTGGTTTGGCTGGTTTGGCTGGTTTGGCTGGTTTGGCTGGTTTGGCTGTCCTGGGTACTCTCCTGAGTATTTGAGGCATCATTGTGAGCATCGTTGCCATCATTGGACTCTTTCTTGTCTGCCTTGTTCTCTGTGCGCAGCTTGTAGTAGTCAGGGCGGGTTGGGAACTCCTGGCCGTCCAGGCTGAAATACAGCTCAGCACGGGCAGCTGTCGAGCTTTCGGGTTCCAACCACACTGACGAGATTCGACGTCCCCAAGCTGTCGTGGAAACGTGCTCTCTGGCCACACCCAGCCCAACCAATTCGTCAACCACGGATAGTGCTCTCCGCCTTGCAGTGCTTGTAGCAATTCCACGTGGTGCACCGGCACCGGCATGCGCATCCACATGGAATTTAAGTCTTGGATGTTGCTGTGCAAAAAGTGCAGCTGCATGGATCAGCTTTTTGGTCTCCTCAAGCAGACTCAATCCACCACCATATTCGAAGTACAAGTGGTTGCTGCTGTCTGACGCACACACGTCCATCACCTTCAATCCAACCGCAAGCTGCTCCAAATTGACACATCCTTTGGCCCATGGTATTCCATGATCACAGAAATCTTGAGCTCGGCGTTCCGCAAATCTGCGAGAGAAGATCAGCTGTCGTAGGTTGAGATCGGCAATTCCAAGCCTGAGTCTTGTTGGTGGAGGCAGGTATGCATCAAATGAAGTATGAATGCTGCTGCATCAAATAAAGTATTCATCATTCAAAGAGGCCAAGAAACCGGGCCAGAAGGGCTGGGTTGCAACAAGCTGCTCCCATAGCATCTGCAACATCTGGCAAAGCAAAGCACACTGCAGCAAGGCCTGCTCAGTTCCACACCAGGAGCATCAGCAAGAGGAATTGGGGGCAAGCCGCTAAAGCTATTGGATACTCTTGGTAGTAAAGAATTGTGGAGGAAAATAGAAACTGGCCTAACCAGCAGTCTACATCAAGGATGAGAAGATAGAGGAGTGCACATGCTCATTCGGGGATGCTTGGCACAGCTGACAATCACTGAAGTCCAATTCTAGAAAGCTTCAATGCTGACTCAACAGCTGAATCAAACAGTTCATAACAGTTCATTCCTCATGTTTCTCTAAGATCCTTCAAGTTTTGTTTCATGTTTGACCTCGGGCCTGAGGTGGAATCTCGACACCCAAACTTCTCTGTTTGATCGGGAGCCAACGAGGCTTCCTTTGAAGGGTATCCAGCGGAGCTCTGCACACCAGCCATTGGGAACTAAACAAAGGAGCACTTCGTGGTATTCTCAGCAGAACAACACAAGCTGCTGCTTGATGTGATTCAGTACATTCTCAACACATTCAATCACGTGCCATAATTCAAGATCCTATTGCAATCTGGCTTTGAGGGCGCAATGCCTGCGGGAGCACATCAAATTCAAGTCTGTTTTTCTGGCAATTTCTGGCAATATCAACACTATTCTATACTCTCAACATCTCTCAACTCAGCTTCCAATATCTTCCAATGAAATGGCAGTGTGTCAAAACCAATAGTACCCCT